TGCTTAGCACTCTGCCATCTTTCCCAGGAGTCATTGTAGGGAATCTGAACCTGAGCATCAGAGTGAGATCCTGGGTCTCACTTGAGACCCTGGGTCTGTTTGTCCCCATTTCCCTCCCCTCCCTTCCTCACCCTTTCCTCTTCTTTGTTTCCATTATTTTCCTTCTATTCTCTGGTTTTTCCGAACCCTTCCACCTCCCCGCTCCCATGTTCCCCTCCCCATTTGAATATTTTCTTCCAGCCTCTTAAGCGCACATTCTAAGTAGCGTTCAGTGTGTGCACACTGTAGCTCAACCATCACCACCATCGTCTCCAGAGCTTTTTCAGCTTCCCCAAATGAGTTCCCACATCCGTTAAACACATCCCCCTTCTCTCTTGCTGTCAACTACCTATTCTACGTTCACTTTATGAGTTTTAATAGCTTGCAAGGGTGATTTCTTAATGATATTGTCACTGTGTTTATTTTATGGTTATCTCCTCACTAAAGGAAATGATACGGATTGTTACCTAATGGTAGTTGTTCAAAGGTCAGTTTTTTTTCCATCCAGGGTCTCACTCTGATGCTCAGTGTGACCCTCCCATGGTGCTGGTCAGTGCTCCCCGCCCACCCGCAATCAAGGGAAACATCTGCTGTGGGCTGCATCGCTCAGCTCTGGCGTTCCGCAAGCCAGATGTTTAGTTGCTTTTTCAATATTATTATATATTCAACTTGTAAGAGGTTTCTGGGTGTGCAGCCCCATTGTAAATTGAGGACTTATGTGTATATTTCTTAGATTCGAAGCTCTCAAAGGGGACGACGCTCCTCCTGGAGACTGATCCTGGGAAGGGAAAGCCAGGCCCCTTCTAGTGTTCCCTGAGGGGCTTAGAACAAAGGGAGATTGAGAAGAGCTTCGTGGTGACAACACAGACCCTTGTGGGAAAGAGAGGTCCAGAGGTCTGGTTGACGACCGTGGCGGAGGAGTGAGTCTGAGCACACTCGGACTCGTCATGTCCTAGGCACACTGAGTGAGTCACCCTGCCTAGGCTGTCCCGCTCTGACCTCTTACTTCCGCTCAGCTCCCCCATCCAAAAGTACCGCCTCCAAACCACGCCCCTAGCCTGCCTCCATTGCCATGCTCTAGCCTGCTCAATAAAATGCCTGGTACTTCCGCAGTAAACCGGATCTGCACCATCAGCCTGGTCTCTGGTGTCTTCTTTGCACCATGTTGCCACTTACTACAGGCCCAGGTCCCTCGACCCAAGGAGGTTCAACCTGAAGTGGTGCCCTCGAACAGGGACACTGTGTGCCCCCTGGGAGTCGGTAAGTGGCCCCCGCCCACATCATGGGCTCTGCGCTTCGTAAGGACCAGCGCCCACTGGCACAGGCACTTGCTGCTCTCTTACAGGTTAGACATTGTAAAATTTTTTATAAGACCCTCTCCCAGTACTGGGGAATTCTCCTTCCCTTTAATCCTTGGCTGAAAGCTGCTAATCTGTGGGACCCGCAGACATGGTCCCTCCTTATCCGGCGGGTCCAAACGGCAGAACAACATGAAAGGAAAATCTTTCCCGTAGGGCTCCAACCAGTTTTACTTACTATCAGAGCTTGCTTAACAGGCTCAGAAAGCATTACTGGGGAGGATCAGAAGCCTTTCCTCTCCTAGCAGACTCTGCTGCGTGTGCCACGGCAGCTCCAGACGCTGAGCCTTCCCTCACAGAACAGCTCGAAAAAGATCTCTCCCTGTCGGTGGCCCTCCCATACGAACCAAACGCCAAAGAAACCCCCAAGCCAGATGATACAAAACCCTTGACTCCCCCACCTAAACCAAGCAATATATACCCCTCACTCACTTCTTTAAAACAAGAACCAAAGACGGCACTGAGTAAAAATTCTCCACCCATGATGGTGCCGAACAAAAACTCCCTGCCCCGGGCTACTTCCTCTTTGTCACGCAATAAGCCCTGCCCCTTGATGAAAGCAGAACTTGATTGGGACGAGCCTCCGGCTTATCTTGCAGCACCACCTGCTGGCACTACTCAGACATCACACCCTAAAAATCCATGGGATGGATATCATACAAAAAGAGATTTTAAAGTACAACCATCCCAACAATGGGGTGATTATTATGAAGGATTATGCAAAATCAGAGACAGTCAAGCAAAAAATTGGGAACAATGGGAAACTGAAATAAATGATATGTTTCCTGTAAATTTAAATCAAAATCCTACATGCCCCTTAAGATGGTATCCCCATGAACATTCTACTCTTAAACGCTTGAGAGAAGCCATTGGGGAAGATGGCCTTCGTGTTACAGGTTCTACAATACTGTCCAGACTGTAACATCAACATTTTCTCTGATAGTCAGTATGTAGTTCAAGTCTGCCACGTCCTCGCACATGCCATCTTAAAACAAAAGGATACTATATTATATAAAGCCTTAAAAACCTTACAAAACACTCTTCAACATAGAAAACACCCTTGGTATATACAACACCTCAGATCCCATACGGGACTTCCTGGTCCCCTTGCCAAAGGAAACCAACTAGCTGACAGCCTAGTCTCTATTCCAGCTGTACCAACAGCCCTGTCTGACCCACTCTTGCAAGCAAAAACACTTCATTCTAGATTTCACTTATCAGCCAAAGCCATTCATCAGCTTCTCCCAGAGGTCCCTAAAGCTACATGTAAACATCTGGTCCGTAGTTGCTCCATGTGTGCCCCTTTCTCCCATTTGGCCCTCTCCAACCTCAGGGAGTAAACCCCCGAGGACTCTGTCCCAATGCCAGATGGCAAATGGATGTCACCCATTTTCCCCCATTCGGTAAATTAAAATACATTCATGTAACCAAAGATACTTTCTCTGGAGCTACCATGGCTATAGCCATGATGGGAGAAATGGCACAACATGCCTCACGCGCTCTAGAAATGGTAGGGGTCCCTTGGGACCTAAAAACAGATAAGGGACCATGTTATACCAGTCAAACTTTTAAAAACACATGTGCCAAATACAACATAACCTTACATCATGGCATTCCCTACCATCCTCAAGGACAAGCTATCATAGAAAGAACTCACCAAACACTCAAAACTTTATTTAAAAAAGAGGGGGAATTACACCCCTGGAGCACACCAGATGAACTGCTAACAAAAGCTCTCATAACCGTAAATCTTTTAACTTTCAATGAAAAGGGTCTTTCCCTGGCCCATAAACATTGGGGCCCATTACTGGCCCCTCCAACACCACTCCCTCTTGTGCGCTGGAAGGATCCCATGACACAATCATGGCAGCCCCCAGCCCTACTCTTAACCCAAGGCTGAGGTTTTGCTTGTGTCTTTCCAGAGACAGCACCCCATCCAGTGTGGGTTCCTGCCCGAGATGTCCAACCAGCCACAACTGACGACATCAGAGATGAAACAAATGACCCTCGACGACAGACGTTCAGGGGGTGGACCAACTCGGCGCAGGAGACGACACCTGGCTAAGACCACTTCAGCACCCCCAGTTACATGGGGGGCCCTCAAGGCGCTTTGCAACAAAGCCTAGAACACGTTCTCACCTGAACAAACAACCACTGCCAAGCTGTTCCTGATGATATGTGCCATTATTACAATCAACTCTGCTCAGGCAGCCGAGGTCTCTATCCCTGTCTGGGCAGCCCTACGCAATCCACCTGGTCTTCTTATTGTTACCTCTGACTCTCCTACTTTTCCTAAATTCTTCACTACCCATTGCTTTCCAGGAATTCCCTGTGATCCCCACATAAAACCCGCGATGGTCTCCTTCTCCAACTGGACTCTGCCTACCAATTTTCCAAACCCCTTTACTTTTCAGGCTTGTGCCAACACCTCAGACCAGCCCAACAACCTAACCGCCCATCTAACGCTTTTCAATTACACCACAGCAGACTTCTCTAGGTTCAACATGAGTGGCCAACAACAAAAGTTTCTTCAGATTAACCTCCTCACCCCCATGAGCAGATGCAAGCCAGGAGCAAACACCACACTTCAAAACTTTCCCTGCTTCTCTGATAAAATCTTCGATACTGCTCGACCACTATTTGCCCCTTGCAAACCTCCAAGCCTAACTTTAGACTTACAGATATCACTTGGGATGCCTGCCTTTCTTCACTTAGACCTTTCAAAAAAGACAACTATATAGCTCTATGGACTCTCCTTTTCTTCACCCTGGGGACAATGGATCCCTCCCCTTTACAGGATGCAACCCATTTTCCTTCACAGGGAGACGCTCTATATTCTCCTCCCATCAGTTATGTGGAAACTTCAGATGCCTTGACATCCTTCCGATGATGCTCATGGGCAATACCTCTATTACTAATGGCACTTATTCCATTCCCAACCCTAGCCTCCTTAATGCCACCAGCAGCTCTGGTGGTATCACCGAAATGTGCACTGGTGGTCTTGCCCAAATAACAACAATCAACTCACTCTGCTCACAAAGCTTGCCCCCAAATGATATCTCCTGGTTACCCTTGGTTAACCTCACTTACAAAAATAACTACTCATATTTTTCAGCAGCCTGTGTTGCCCCCCCCTTTTTACTTCTCTTGTCCACGGGTGCCTCTTTTAACTGCTCCTTGGCAGGCACCTGCTACCTGTCTAACTGCTGAAATGGAACTCCTCCATATATGCTCATCCTTCGCACCCCTTCTGTCCTTTGGGTGCCAGTTAATATCTCTGATTGGGTAGCTCCATCACTTCCTATCCGGCTTTCTTCCACCTCCCTACAGATACACAAGAGAGATTTCGGAGCCTCTGCTATTATCGCCCTTATTATTGCTTTTATTACAGCCACAGCAGCCAGAGCCACAGCAGCCGTCAGGCTCACCCAATCCACCGTGACCGCTCAAGGACTTAACAACCTTTCCCATACTGCCGCTGAAACTTTCTGAGTACAACAACAGCTTAATGCATATACCCATATGGCTCAGCTTAATCTCCAACAACAACTTGACCTCATAGACAATGAAATTCAGGACCTCTGGCATGTTGCTACCACTCCCTGTGACCAACGCTTCTCGTCAGCCCCACTTTGTGTCACACCAAAACCAGCCAACCTCTCTTCTGCTCGTCTTTCGTTCCGTGAGTGGATCCTTGGCCCTTACAACAGCACTTACTTCAACGTCTCTCTTCAACTGACTGAACAAATACAACCTATTGACTCTATCCAAGTTCCTATTCTAATGGACGATGTCCTCTCCGATCTCCTACATAACCTACAGCGCCTATGCTCACCAGCCAATTTACTTACCCTTGGATTCCTGGGACTTCCAGGACTTCTTGCGTTAATCGTGCTTCGTATGATGTGTACCTGGTTACAAATGATAACCTCTAAACAGGCTATGATGGCCTCAATTCAATTGGCTTTTATAAAAAAAGAGGGGGAATTTGTGGGAAAGAGAGGTCCAGAGGTCTGGTTGACGACCGTGGCGGAGGAGCGAGTCTGAGCACACTCGGACTCGTCATGTCCTCGGCACACCGAGTGAGTTGCCCTGCCTAGGCTGTCCCGCTCTGACCTCTTACTTCCGCACAGCCCTCGTCCAAAAGTACCGCCTCCAAACCACGCCCCTAGCCAGCCTCCATTGCCATGCCTCTAGCCTGCTCAATAAAATGCCTGGTACTTCCGCAATAAACCGGATCTGCACCATCAGCCTGGTCTCCGGTGTCTTCTTTGCACCGTGTCGCCGCTTACCAGGGGTCCAGGTCCCTCGACCCAAGGAGGTCCAACCTCAGACCCTGAGGAATTTTCCTGCTCTGGCCAGATAAACAGCATTGGAAAACATTTCCTCCTATTTTCTCTACAGACAAGCAGTTCAAAGTGAGTATCAGTGATCACAGGCTCTGTCCCAGGCCCTGTTCTAAGTGCTGTTAATCCTCTTACTGCCTTGCCAGGGTGTTGCAGATATCACAGTTTTAGACACAGGCAGAGAAACTGAGGCACTAAAAATGAAGTCCTTTGCTCGACACCCCACAGCTAGCATCACTGTCTTTACTATGGGCAGCCATGTGCCAGGTTAAAACTCGGGGCCTCAGGCTGGGATTGGGGCTCAGTGGCACAGCGCTGGCCTAGCATGCACAAGTTTCTGGGCTCAATCCCAGCACTGCAAACAAACTAAAATTTTAAATCCCAGGGCCTTGACCATTATGGAAAGAATGAAACACAAGAGGCTGACAGGATGCAAACCTCAGCCCCTCACTGTGTAGCCATCAGGAGCTGCAGGGAGTCCTTAAGGAGAGAGAGTCTTGCCACTGTTGTAAGCACACAGCATGCAGTGAACGCACAAAGCCGGACGTCTGCTGTCCCCCGGGATCTGACTCTGCACTGCCAGCCCTGTTCCCTGCAGGGGAGCTTCGCACAGACCCTGTGCCCTGTGACCTCCTTCTCTGCAGCCCAGTTGTGCTCAGGTCTTCAAGGACCACAGACTGTGTGCGGCCTGTGACACTGTAGTTTCCAGTGTGGAGGTCGAGTTCCCCCTCCACCCACTTTCACAATGGTTTTCACCTTGTGTTACTCGCTTTGGAGGTTGCTGCTCTGGAGGATGAACTGAAGCAGCTCCTGTGGGCTGCTCACCTGTTCACCACTGAGGACCCCCGAGTGTCTGCTGCCTCCCACTCCACACTCAGCGGGTGACAGTGCTGGGAGCAGAGGACTGTCTGCTCCTGACAGGAAGGAGGCGCCTGAGCCTGTGTGTCCTGTGCAGGGTGTCTTGGGCCTTGTGTGGAGCTGGAGGGGGCCAGGTCCTGAGTTACAGAGGGAGGGGACTGGCCTTGCTCCTATTTCCGGATCTCGACTCCATCACTGTGTGTAGCTGGGGCTGATCCTGATGGCAGCTGCTAGGGGAGGCTGAAGGGCAGCTGCCACGTTGAATTTTAGTTGATGAAACCCACTGAACCCTACGGTTGCTAAAAATGATAAGCTAATGTTGGGCTGCATTCGCAGAGGTAGAGTGTCTAGAAATAAGGGAGGTGAAAATCTCTGCTGGGGACCAGAAATTCACAATGGCTAGTTCTACATACTTCCCTAAGGGATGGACAGAGGCTTGGGATGTTTGGTATCACCCTTCTGAGATTTTCCATTATCCCATCAGGGGTGGGTGGGCCTTCCTCTTCCTCCTACTAAGACTAAGACTAAGACTAAGACTAAGACTAAGACTAAGACTAAGACTAAGACTAAGACCACTAAGTTTAAGTCTAAATCTAAGTGTCAGTGTCAGTCTCAGACTCAGATTCAGACTAAGCCTACTAAGATTAAAGAGGCTCCTGGGAAAGATCCTCATTAGCTAAGGTCACCACCACCTGGTGAAGTGATCCGATCATGTCCTTCTCAGTCAGTCAGTGCTGAGGTTCTGGCTGCCTCGTGGCCTTCTGTCCCTGTGAACAGCTGGTCATCCCAGGTTCCCGCTGCACCGCTCTTGTGTCTCTTGTTCTTTCTTCCCACAGTGCACAGTAATCCGAGGCAGGAAGACTGAGGCTCACTGCAGGGATCTGCGATAGTCTCCCACTTCTGCATGTTGTTGACCAGATTCCTTGGGAGACATGGCCTACTTTGTGGCACAAACCCAGAGGCCAGAGCGAGGCAGAGAGCTCACTCAAGTGATGCCTAAGTGGCAGGGCAGTGCTAGGTGCTTCCCATAGGTTCCCTGGATTCATTAAGGACATGGTGAGAGGAAAGAGTCACCTGCTCACGAAGGGGTGGGGGGAGGGCAGCTAGGGAGAAGAAGCTGGGTGGTGTCATCTGGAAGAGGGGAGGGAGCTTGGCTTTGGAGTCTGGATCTCCCCTTGATAGCTGGATCTCCCCTTGACAGCTGCCCTCCCCTTAGATCATGCGTGCTCTGCTCCAAGGCAAACGCCATTCCCTCCACCTCAGCCCTTCCACCTGTAGGCTGAAGACAAGTGTCCCTTCTGCTTCCACAGTGTAGTCTACACCCAGAGCAGCCTCCACCCACCACCTGCCACTCTCTGCCCAGGATGAGAGCGTGAGGCCAGGATCTGAGTCTGAGCTGTGACACTCAGGGCATCCCACAGCCCGGGCACAGAACGCAGGGCTCAGACAGGAACCCAAGAGACTTGGGCAGTGCCCAACCTGGGGGCACAGCACAGTCACAACAGTTCCTGTCCCTTGTGACAGATGATTGGGTCTATGAAAGGAGGCTCTCACTGGAGAAGCATCTGAGATGACAGGCGTGGAGTGCAGTGGTCAGCAGCTCAGATCCCCTCCCTGGGTTGCCTGGCCTGACAGCCAGTGCTGACATGTTCCTGCTGTGTGACCTCAGGCAGTGTGCTTCACCTCTCTGTGTCTGCATTTCTTTCCATGTAGAATGGGCATAATTAATTGTATGGTAAGTCCCTGGCTTGCTAACAAGTTCCCTTCTGGGAGAACATTCATAAATTGGATTCATTCATAAGTTTGACAAAGTGAGTTGTACATACCTTGAACACCAATATACAATGTAAAGCATAAAGAACCACACACACACACACACAAATACTGTAAATTATTTCTGTTTCTACAGGTACCTTAAAGTGGTGGTACAGTACAGGACAACAACTATAAATATTGTGAGCTGCTTCTGTGATTTGTTCACATCTACTGGTGTTTGTAATATGAGGTCTGCCCATATATGAAAGTTTACAACTCAAATCTTGGTAACTTGGGGATTCACTGTGCCTGATTCCTAAAAGTGACAGAGGATTAAACAGGCATCCAGAAGGTGTGTAGCACATAAGCAATACTCCTCAGGCTTTTGCTTTAACAAAATAATTGCTGTGACACCATAGCCCCAGCTGTACTTCTTTCTTCCTCTTTGTAATATGACTTTTTAAAAGCCAGGTCCTCCCTGTACCTCAGAGACCTGGATGGCCCAGCCTCTGTTGAGTGACTTGAGCAAGAATAGGGAAAACAAAGGATAATCTCAGGTCTTCTGAAATCTAGGTGTAAGCCTTCTTAACCCCAGAAGTCTTGTATTCTGCATGTACCTATAGCCAGTGCCAAGTGGATGATGCCAGGCTTTCTTCTCCTTTGGCTCTAGGGGTTGAGTGCTTGGCTCACTGAGCACTCTGACCCTAATTCTGAGGAACAAATTCTCTATGCCACTGCCATTCTGGATCATGGTGCTCTGTGACTTTCTCTTCAAAGCAAAATCTTTCACTTTTGCAGGTTTGAGGCTGCAAAATGTGGAGACTTGCAACTTCTTGTGATGCCCTCAGGCCATCTTTTATATTCTTCTATTCCTTCTCAGCAGTGGAGATCTCCTTAGTTCTATCTTTGCAGTTCACAGCTTTACTAGAGCTTCCTTTCTGCCCAAACTCACAATGTCTTAAATCATTCTGCTGGGCTCTTTGTTCTTGGTTCTCAATATAAATCTGGCTAAAAGCCCCCAACAATAACTATGCCATTGCCTCCACTTCTGACTGCTTTGAAATTTCTTCTGCCAGATTAATTAGTCCACTGCTGTTAATCTCAGTCTCAAGCAAAGTCTCTGGACATGAGTAAAATGCAGACAAACTTTTAGCCAAGACATAACACACATCTTCTGGAGTCTAGAACCTAACGCAGTCCTTCTTCCCAGCAGAAACATTCCGAACCCAGTCTTTACCAGCAGGATTTCTATCAGCCTTCTGATCTTCTGAGCTTTGACCAGAATCTCCCATACAGAACAGCTGAGGGCATTCCAGCTCTACTCTTTCAGGTGACATCTCCAAACCTTTCCAAACTCTTCCCACAAGCCATTCCCAAAGGCTCTTGAACCACACAGTCATGTATAGTCACAGCAATGACCCCACTCCTGGTACCAAATTGTTTTGGTTACTTTTCTTTTGTTGACCTGCAAGCCATCAATCACCTGGAAGTGGCTGGTGATTCTTTTATTTTCTTCCAGTACTGGGAATTGAACTCATGATGCTGTGGTTGCCAGGCAGGTGCTGTGCCGCTGAGCTAAATCCCCAGCCCCTTGGCTGGCGATCTCAAGCTTACTACAGTGAATGTCCAGGTGAGCTCCCTGGCCTGGTGCACCACTGTCTGCATCTTGTCCCACTCCTCTTCCACACCCTGCACCAGCTTCTTCAGAGCCCTGACCTCTGAGCAGAGGCTGATGCTCACTGTACTGCAGGCAAATCTCCAGCTCCACTCCTCTTTGCCCTGTGGGGGTCCCAAAACTGCTGAGCCCCCAGCAAAGGCCCACACTGCATGTGGCCCTCAGTCGCCCTCCCATCCTCTGTGCAACCCCACTTGGGTCCCAAGACACAGCTGTACACTGCAATAAGGAGGAGACCTGCAGGGATTTCCTGGTCCTGAGACCTTAACTTCTGTCCTTGGCTGTGCAGCCTGCTGCCCCCCAACCCCTCTGGAAAGGCTGCTCTGGTGTCATCCCACTGGCTTCCACCAACTGACCAGAGCTCTCTCATCAAGGGCTCTTCCCTTCCCTGGAGTCCTTAAAATAAAGAAAACACTGTACTGTGGGCACGCGACTGACTGTTTCATTGGTGTGTCTGGAGACATTTTGAGTTTTCTAGTTGGGGGTTCCTTCCCTATGGAGTGGGAAAAGCAGTACTCATTCTCTTTGGGCAGGGAGGTCCCTACATCCATGCCTACTCCCAGAGGGTCCCTTGAGAAGCCGTGAGGATGCTGAGGAAGACAGCTGGGCTCGGGCTGTGGGAGGAAGTGTCCCTGACATAGGCATCTTGATATCCTGGTGAACCCAGGAAATATCCCCATGTCCCTGAGAGCAGAGAAGGCTAGAACCAAATCTGTGGGGCCATGGCAGAGCCAGGAACCAGATGACCCTGTGCCAAGTGTGAGGGGAGGCAGATGGGTACCTGGCATGAAGGATGGTGTGCAGGATCTAAGTGCTTTGGGATCAGAGATCTGGGGCCCACTGGGCGGGTGCATAAGGGAGCCCAGCTCTGCACCCAGGTGATTCCATCAAGAACTTGCTCCCTCAGGCATGGTGCTCAGGCCTCAGTGTCAGCAGGGAACTGGTCAGGAATGCAACATCTCAGGCCCTCCGCTGTCCTACCTCATGGGGACATGTATTTTAAGCACATCTAAGCGGATTTGTGAGTTTCCAGGAGCAGCACTTGGACCTGGTCTAGGTGGCTGGATTCTTGGCCATGCTGTTCAGACTCCAGGCTCCTGGTCAGGGCACTGACATTTCTGGGTGACCAGAGGTCTGCATGTCCCTCCCGCTCCCACATCTGTGTCGCTGCTGCCAGGAGAGGAAGGATAGGCAGCAGGGAGAAGCAGGGGGGAGCCCATGAGGCTTGGCCAGCAGGGCCCTGCCCTCCACCTGAGTCCCTTCCTTGATTCTGAGCAGGAGATGGGGCTCTGTCTCCTCCCAACCCTCCTGGTTGGCTGCATCCCAGCAGGGCCCTGGTCTCTCAGGCAGGCAGGGATGTGGTGCCCTCCACCCACATCCTCCTACAGAAGGCCACGCCTGGTTTTCCCAGGTGCCAATCACCAGTGGCCAAACTTAACCAAACAGGGACAGCAAGGCAAAAGTCTGCATGATGGGGCCTGGAGGACAAGGCTAATGAGCTGGTTCTGGGGCTGGGACTCCCTCCCTCATTCAGGGTAAGTTGCTTCCTGTGGAGGCTCAGCTCCCACTCTCAACTGCCCACCCCTTCCCCACCACCCTCTTTGGGTGAACACAGACCTCCATCCGCTACCATTTCAAAGAGGAATCCATGGTCTCCCTAGTCAGGTCCTTTGTGGGTTCTTTGTCCACGTGGTGGCACAACCCTGACCACGCTATGCCTTGTGGCTGCTAAACCTGCAATAGTGCCACACACACACACACACACACACACATGCGCGTGCGCAATATAGTTAAGTGAAATGTATTTTATATAAGCTTTTTCATCAAGGAAACAAACAAGGAAGGCTCAAGGCCCTTGGGAGCAGACAGGGGTGTTTTCATATAGAAGCATAAATATTGTACAGAGGGCACAGAAATACGCAATGGTGCAATATCGTCTCCTGGTGGCCACTTAAATCACTGCAAGCAAAGAAAGTTCCTGCGTTCCTCTCAGGTTTAGCGTTGCAGATTCATTGCCAAGGACCCCGGGATTGGGGTGGGAGGCTTCAGGGATAGAGGTGACTCTAACTGTAGCAGAAAAACTCAAATGGAAGACTCTTTGCACCGAGGAATTAGAAGGCAATGTTTATTACGCTAGCAGGCAGTGGAATCCTGAGGTTCAAATCACCAGGCCAGAATCAGGTTTAAGTTCAGTTTACTTTTATTTTTATTTATTTATTTATTTTTGTTTTGTTTTCGGTACTGGGGATTGAACTCACGACCTTGCGCTTGCAGGGCAGGCACTGTGCCGCTGAGCTAAATCCCCAGCCCCCAAAGTTCAGTTTAAATAGGGTTTGTGAGTGGGAAATATAAAGCTGATAGTAGGTCATTACGTGGTTGGTTACATGGAATACAAGAATTAGGTCATATATAGGCAGGCAGGTTTACTTGAATTGTTTAACATTCTGGGAAGGAGGGCAAGGGGTTGTGAGCAGAGAAAGTAGAGTTCAATGGGTCCTTGACTGGGCCAGTCTGTTTCAGATATGAAATCCTTGAAGTGAGTTGGAAACAAAATATATTTTTCTAACTGAGGAAAATATAAGCCAAACACAGTAAAGTTGGCCCAGTGCATTATCAGAGAAGTAGACAGCCAAGGCTATCTACGTGACAGGCAGCATGAGCAGAGACACAGGCTATGAATTGATTTCTAACTTTTGCTGTAACATGCCTACAAGTCTGCTACTCTGTAAACGTGTCCTTACACCATCAGTCCAGGATACTACTTTGTGTTAGCTCACATAAAATAGATGTGACAAAATTTATCATTTTGGCCATTGTCAATTCAGGTGGCTTTCAGTATATTTACACTGTTATCCAAACATCACCACATCCAGCTCCAGATGTTTTTCATCTTCCCCAAATGAGTTTCTGCATCCATCAAAAACATCCCACTTTCCCTCTGCCCTGGCGACTACCGTCACTGTGTGTGGCTGAGGCTGATCATGATGGCAGCTGCTAGAAGGAGGCTAAAGGGCAGCTACCACACTGGATTTTAGTTGACAAAATCTACGGAGCACTGAGGTTACCAAAAATAATAAGGTTAGGCTGCATTAGTGGAGGTAGAGCATCTAGAAACAAGGAGGTGAAAATCTCCCACTTCTGTGTGTTGTTGACCAGATTCCTTGGGATAGGTGATCTACTTTGTGGCACCAATCCAGAGGCCAGTCCAAGGCAGAGAGCTCGCTTGAGTGATGCCTAAGTGGCAGGGCAACGCTCCTCCCCAGAGCCGTTATCAAAATCCCAGACTCTTGCTTGCTGCTATCTGTTCCCTACAGTCCACACTGAGGGGTTTTTCAAAATATGATCACACACCTCACCACTTGCTAAGCATGCTAGCTGGTGACTGGATTTCCCTAAGGCTCAAATAGAGCAGAGGTCTCAATACTGACTTTTAAAAAAGTAACTCATGAAATAACTAGAAGAAAACACGCTATTTCTAAAAATATAAATTTGGAAGATGGAAGACCCTCCTAAGTAGAGCACACAGGAAAGGGAAAGCTACCAAAATTTATAATGTAAAAAGACGTACTCTTTATAATGAAAAATACTATATACACATACATATGAGCACACATACATAGCTAAAAGTGTGAAAATCAGAATGCCTATTGCTGAAGAGTAAGTTGTGTACAAGTAGTTCTTATAAATGAACAGAAGTCAGCTCTCAAAGATGATGCAAGTACAAATAAAGGCAGTTTCTAGCAATATAAATACAAAGAAATAGCAAAAAGACAAAAATGTAATCAGACTCACTCATGATCATATAATACAGATATAAAAGTCATCTAGGACAGACAAATGGCCAACATCACACTAAATGGAGAGAAGCTGAAAGCTTTCCCTCTAGAATCAGGAACAAGACAAGGATGCCCACTATCACCATCCCTGTTCAGTATAGTTCTCTAAACATTTAGACAACTTCCCCCTCCATCTTAACACCCATAGGAAAGGGAGATGGTGAAGGAAGGAAAAAATGCATAGGGAGAACTGGAAGCTCCTGGGCCCCCATCCTTACACAATGAAAATCCCCAGTAAGGTGTTTTGTTTTTTTTTTTTCCAAACTCTTCTCCTTAATGATGGTTTTCAATGAGGAATAGAAACTTAAAAGAAAGAAATAGTGTCCTAAGATCCCGAGTATTCTCAAGTCATTCAAGTGGCCATGCATGAGCTGTGTACCTTGGCTGCACCCCTTTCACTCCCTAAGCCTCATTTTTCTGTGTTCCACTGCCCTGCCCAGCGTGCGGTTTCCTGCAGCCTGGGACGGAGCGTGCTTAGGACGCACAGCACACACTTCGGGGCAGTGCCGTCTGCAAACTGGCTGCCAGGTCACTCTGCGTCTTCATGAACCAAATGGGATTCGGTCTCTGGGTGGAGCGCAGGGGGCAAAGGAGAGAAAGGTCACAGGACTGGGGATGCCCATTTCCCTGTCCCCGAACCCCACCCACAGCCCTCACCCCAGCACCTGGCTTCTCTCTGTCCAGACCGCTTCCTTTGCTCCTGGCTCCGCCCTGTTGGGCAGCTGCCAAACTGCGTTGCTATCTGTTTCCTTGAAATGTCCAGCTCTGTGCGCTGACAGCTCAGTTGGTGTGAAAATCAGCAGGGGACACCGAGGCTGTGAAAACATGGGTTCTTCTGAAAGCCAACCTGCCCAGGTGAGTCGTGGGCTGGCCCAGCCTGAGCTGGCTGCACAGCCAGGGAGGAGCAGCTCTGGTCACTGAGGAAATGACTTGTTGGCAGGGAGAGCTGGTGGGGGAACCCCAAAGAGAGCCTGAGCAGGGTGCAAATGCCAGAGGTCATCTGGGTGTAGCTTTTTTCCATGGCAGCCTCGTCCAGGGCAGCCTCTTGGGACTTAGGGATGTTAATGTGATTCAGGCATTTGACTCTCAATTAGTGACCCTGGTCTAGGTGCCTGCTTCATTCTAGGTGTTCATGGAATACAAGTGTAGTAGCATCTTCAAAGGTGACAGTTTGTATACAGAAGGTGTGAACAGGCTTCTGGAAGGAAAACAACCCACACCCATGGCATGGCCTTTGGGGTTCAGGCATACATTGGCCAGATGGCTCCAGTTGGGGCACATTTACCTCCCCAGGTCTCAGTTTCCACATCTGTCTAACGGGCATAATACTCGAGCCCACCTCCCAGAATAGGGGAGAGATTGGGCTGTGTAGCATATCTAGTGCGTTTGTATGTAGGTGCTGTGGGAGTGTTGGGCATTTTCAGCAGCCCTAGGTCAGCGGGAGATCTATGAGGAAGTATGTGTGTCCAGAGGGGTGAGCTGGAGCTCAGCACGCAAGAATGCACCTGCATGTCTACACAGGGCCCGGCTGAGAAGTAAGGAGAGATTAGGGCTGTGCCTGTGGTGTGCAGTGCAAACAGAAGACTTTCCCACATTTGCCCCTGCCTGCCAGAGGCAGTGCTTGAACACCGTGGGGCTTCTCCCCTCTCTGTGTGTGGGTGAACTGATGCTCTTAGGTGGAGGCACTTGCCAAATGTCCCCCAGTGGAAAGCTAAAGGCAGGTGCCTGGATTTACCTCCAGAGAGCGGGTCCCCACAGACAGAGCAGCACTGTGGGAAGCAGCAACATGGTAGCCTGGTCCCAGGCCTTCCCTGGGTCACTGCCAACCAGCTTGCTGGCACAGGTGGGGGATGAGCAGAGGGGGCTGCAGGGCCTGAGAGTGGGCCCCGAGTGGAGCTCACTCACGTAGGAGACCTTCTTGCCCTGACCCTCCCGACACCCGCCACAGGGGTCCACGCCCCTCAGCACTGCCATTGCTCCCATGTGGGACCTGCGTGGAGGAGATGGGAGAGGCTGGGTGGAGCTGGACGGGACCTCTTGGGCACAGTGGGTCGTACTGATCACACCTTCTCTGGTTCCTCAGCAGATGAGAAAGTATATAAACTGAGAGAGCTGAATAGGCCTTCAGGTACTGAAGGAAAGAGGCCCGTGCCGCCCCGTGGTGTGGCAGCGCCCATCCGCCCGGCTGGCCTCTCTGCGCTAGCTGCTCGCCTCTCACAGCTGCAGGCACACACCCTGCACATGCCAGTGTGTGGGAGCCACGCAGCCACAGCACAGCTGAGCTACTGCGCCTGCCGCCCGGCTTGGGCACCAGGCTCCCTGTCCTAGCCGGCCTCCTCCACAGGCCACGAAGGAAGCTGGGCCCACAGCGAGGACGGCCTGGGGAGGTCCTGGGGGCCAGGGATAAGGACGTTCTGTGCTGTATCGTGAGGCAGCCCGGGTGGGGCTAAAAGCATGGGTTCCGGGGTGCAGATCCCAGCTCTCACTGAGCGGCTGTGCGGCTGTGTGCACCTCAGAACCTTTCTGTGCTGCAGGGGCCTCGTGTGTAAAGCGCCAGTGACAAAGGCAAAGGTTGTTCTCAGAAAGAAAACACAGGTGCGAAAGGCGGCCACCGGCAGGGCCTTTTACCTCACAGCCGTGCCCTGTGCACAGCCTTGCTCCGCCAGGCTGCGGTCCCACTCCAGTGCGGTCTAGGCGCCCTCCAGTGCCCCTGGGCCACCAGAAAGAGGGTGCTGCACTTTGGCTGTGAGGGTCAGCTCTGCTTTCTGTCTTTTTTTTTTGAGACAAGTCTCGCTATGCAGTTCAGGCTAACCTTGAGCTCACTTTGCAGCTCAGGCTGCCCTCGAACTCACAAGGATCCTCCTGCCTCAGCCTCCCGAGTGGTGGGATTACAGGTGTGCACCACCACGCCTGGCTCAGCTCTGCTTTCTGGACCTGCAGGTAGGAAGAGGAGAAAAAGTGCCTTCAGGCAGGGCCAGGAGCAGGGAACAAGTTTGGGACCCTCTGAGGTATTGATTTGAGTCAATGCAAACAGCTTCATGATTGAGTCATCCTCAGCTAGAGGTTTTTCACCAGCAAGAGAGGTGGCATTAATGTGTTACCAAGTGGAAGGGGGCCCAGAACATATGTAGGTGAGGTGACTTGTCCAACATCACAACTGCCAGCACAGGGAGCTGGCCCGGGAGCCAATCCCGTGGCGCCTGGAAAACCTCCATCTCTTTGCAAGAAGGGAGCCAAATAGTCCCATTGTTTTGTGCTAAGCTCCCTCCCTGTCCTTCACACTTCCAAACTGCAAGGCAGCCTTGGTCTCAGAGCTTAGAACAATATAAAGTGCAGTATATTGTCTTATAGCTCTGCCCATCAGAGGCCTAGAGATCACATGTTGAAAGGCTGGGTTGAGCTCAGCGGTAGAACAAGTGCATAGAAGACTCTGGATTTGATGCCCTGCACCACAAAGAAAAGAAATAAAAGGCACCATAGGCTCATTTCCATCCTGAGGCTTCAGGGAGAGTCCTCTCTGTTTCCTCTGCAGCTTCTTGAGGGGCCTGTGAGGATGGGCTCAGGCTCCGCCCTCTGTCCCCACAGCCAGCAGCTTCTTGGGCTGGGGCTGTAGCTCAGAGTAGAATGCATGCTGGGTGTTCTACCTCAAACACCACACAAGTGCAAACAAAAGATAGAAAGTCAGCATCTTCTTGCTTCTGTGGTCATATCCTTTCCTTTGACCCTGACTGTCCCACCTCTGTCCTACAAGGGCCATTGTGATTACAGGGGACCCACCTGGGCCTCAGTGTGGTGATCTGGAGCCCATCTCGCCATGGGTTCCAGGGATCGGACTAGAGTATGGATGTTTCTAGTCTTGGGGCTGGGGACAAGGGCGTCATTCTGGCTTCAGCGTCTTCCTTGCAGCAAAGAGTTGCTGAAAGGCAGGTGATGGGATGCAGGGCCACAGCTGCAAGATCCAGAAAGACTGCGATGACAACCAAGGTTACCAAGAGACACCCAGGGCTGAACCCTCAACCTCATTCATATTGGAGCGCCCCCTCCAGAGTGATGTGTGTGTGTGTGTGTGTGTGTGTGTGTGTGTGTGTGTGTGTGTGTGCACGTGCTCATGACACTCTCACATTGAATTTCTTGGTCTCTTTTCCACAGGAACCTGAACCAGAGCCCAAAACTGCTGTAAGTGGTGTGTGTGTGGTAGCTGGAGATTTCATGTGGAATGGCGGGGTGGGTGGTAAAGGGCAGCCTGTGGTGATCCTCTGACTTGCATTTTTCAATGTGTTAAAAGGGTGGGTTGAGCTCAGCAGCAGAACAAGTGCCTAGAAGACTTTGGATGTGACATCCTGCACCACAAAGAAAAGAAATAAAAGGCACCATAGGCTCATTTCCATCCTGAGGCTTCAGGGACAGTCTTCTGTTTCCTTTGCAGCTTCTTGAGGGGCCTATGTGCATGCGCTCTGGTCCTATCCTCTGTTTCTAAAGCCAGCAGCTTCTTGGGGCTGGGGATGACCTCAGAGAAAAAAGCCTGCTGTGTGTTCTATCTCAAACACAACACAAAGTACAAACAAAAGATAGAAAGCCAGCATCTTTTTGCTTTGTGGTCATACCCTCTTCTTTGACCCAGACCTTCCCACCTCTGTCTTACAAAGGCCGTTGTGGTGACACAGGACTCTCCTAGGCCTCGGTGTGGTGAACTGGGGCCCATCCCGCCAGCCTCAGATCCTTCACTGAATCACATCTGCAGACCTTTTTCCGGTTAAGGTCACAGTCATGGGTTACAGGGATCTGATGGGAGTGTGGATGTGATCTTGGGGGCTGGGGACAAGGGTGTCATTCTGGCCTCAGTGCCTTCCTTGTAGCATGGAGTTGCTGAAAGGCAGGTGATGGGATGCAGGGACACAGCGGGAAGATCCAGAAAGATTGCTATGACAGCCAAGGTTACCAGGAGACACCCAGGGCTGAACCCTCAACCTCATTCATATAACCCTCAACCTTACTCATATCAACCCCTCCAGAATGAGTGTGTGTGTGTGTATGTGTGTGTGTGTGTGTGAGTGTGTGTGCTCATAAACCTCCCACATTAAAATTTTGGCCTCTTTTCCACAGGATCCTGAACCAAAACCCAAAGCTTATGTAAGTCTTGTGTGGGCAGGGGCTGGAGATTTCATTAGGTTGGGTGGTGAGTGGCAGCTAGTGGTGATCCTCTGACTTGAATAATTGAAAAGAGTCCTTTGTCAAGCTGACATTTAAAAAATACTCCTGAAAATTAGAATAATTTTGAAAGGAGCTTTCAACTTTAAAATGCTCCCTTGAGCATGAGCTAATTATATGGCCTTCCCTTGTCATCCCAGCATGCTTGAGTATCCGGCCAAAGTTCCTTCCATGACAGCGAAGGCCCCCTGCTTTGGGAACACTGGGACATTTTCCTTTGTTGGGACATTTCCCCAACATTTAATGAACCAAGTAAAGATGTCCTGGCTTCCTCTGGAAGTCCTACTACTATCAGCTGATGTCCAAGTCCATGACAATTGGTACAGGATTCCCCACTGCTGTG